TTCACTTTTGGCAACCGGTAACATTTCCCAATGCTGCAAAAAAAACAAATAAATAATAATAAATAAAATAAATAGCGTTGTCGATTTTACCCTTGCTGTTGATTTGGGTTTTTAGCAGACCAACCAACCACCATAAATTGAATAATTAAATGTTTTTGTCCAAAACAAACACATCTAAAAAGAAAAAAACATAAATTGAACCAAATAACCGAAACATAATCGAATCAAACAAAGACGTTACAGCCAAAATATGACAAAAATTTAAGTTTTTTTGTGCATTCGTGAATCGAGATTGCGTACTGAAATCAGTAAAAAACACAGCTGCATTCTTGAATTGAGATTGCGTACTGAAATCCAAAACTATAGGGTGCTTTCTACCATTTACCAAAAACAAAATCAAGAAACCAAGTGCAAACACCAGAATCCAACCCCCCCCCCCCTGCCTTATCCAAGCATCGAGTTCTTGAGTTCAAGTGGTTTTTGGACCTCGTAAATGATGGTTTATGGGTGAACAACAGCAAATTCATCTATAATTCCACACACTCACTCTCAAATAATCTCTCTAGAAAATCCCAAAGTTATGGCGAGTATGATGACATTCAAGTTGTCGCATCTCTTATCCAGTCTTCCACCAACACCTGCACATCTTCAATTTCATTTTTGTTAAAAAAATTCTTTCTTCTAGTGAAGCGTTATTCCGTATCATTCCAATTTTTGCCATTTTGATGGTTCCCCTGAAAAAAAATTGTGTTTCTAGCCACTTTAACGCACACTTCGCCATCTTCATCGGCTTCATATTCATGAACAATCTTGCTATACTTTCTTGTTGGTCTGAGGTGGGCGGGTTCATGGTGAGAAGGATTTCAGCGTTTTATACAAACTCCACCAGTGAATGGAGAACTCTTGTGATTTTTGTACACCGGATGAATCAGGGGTTCGTTGAAAGTAGAATCATCAAGATACCTATCCTCATTATCGTCTTCTTGGTTAGACCAGTTATTCATGTATGAGTAATCGTGATTTGAAAAATTGTAATCGAAATTAGGAGTATGATTGGTGGAACTAGCTGCTAACTTTACCAGATTTTGAACAGAAGAAGGTTTAAATCGAATTCCTCGACCCAGATTCAAGCTCTCTGATGATCCGAAACAGGGGTTGCGTTGTAGATTTCCAGAATGCTTGAATTATTGTGACCCGGTTCGGAACTGGGTACATTTTCTATGGCATGCATGGCTTCAAAAAATAACCACGACGAGAAGAAACAACCATTGGGGAACGACGCGCGCTGCTTCTCGGTGCGGTGGTGCTGGCGGAGCTTCTCCATCTCGTGGAGACACTAATGTGTTCGACGAACATACCAAACAAAATAGATTTAGCAATTAACTTTATTTCGTGTAGCTTCCCCTGATCCACAAATTTTTTCGCTCGTGCCTAGTTGTTTTCTTCTTTTCAGCATGTTCGATGACAACTTACAAATGACGAAGGGTATTCCGTTATAATAATGTGTCTTAGGGTTTACCGGATAAATCAGAGAGGATAGACGGTTTAGATATTAATAATGGTTAAATTGTACATAAAATAAATATAAGGGTTTATTTAGGCATTGGGGGTAAAATAAATAGGGCTTTTCTATGGTTTTCCCTAAATAAAACAAGTAATAGAAAGGGGGTTTTCTCTAGTTTTGCAAGACTAGAAACTTATGCAATCAAATAACACTTAAACGAAGGCGATTAACAACTAAGGATAATAGAAGATAAATAGATTCAATAATAAAGAGAGTTCTATTCAGATTTGACTCACTTATTCCTATGTTTGATTTCATGGAAAGTGCAATGGACTAATATATCATTAGCTGCTGATTTCTAATGTGATTAGGCTCATGTTCACTATTACTGATCCTTTGCAAATAGGTTAATTCAAACAGTATCCAATTGACTAAACTAACGAGTTTCCTAGTATTCAGTTCGAATCAAGTAAGACTTGTAATATTAGCTAATTAAATTACTAATTCAATTAACCTCTTGTATGGTTGTTCGTCACACAACCTCACTCATTGACATACCTATTTTCTAATTAACCCCTAGTTTCATGTTCACTATTCCTAGGCATATAATATTGTTTTCACATCAATTATATGAGACAATCAATTAATAGATGTTCATGCAACTTAATAAACCTACTAATTAACAGAAAATAGTTATTGTCAACACATGAGGATCCTTAACAAGCTTAACAAGACAATTCACCAAATCAAATTAATCCAAGCCATAAAATCACACCATATTCAAAAAGTCATATAGTCTAAACAGAAGTGATGAGTTTTTAGCTCATATATACACCAAATAACAAACTAAGAATGAAATCTAATGATTGAAACATGGTTTATGTAAATTATTAAGATAAAAGTAATGTGTCATTGCCTTTGATCTTCGTCTAAATTGATATTTAAGTTGAAATCTCAAAAACCACATCTCTAACAACCCTTTTGGCATCTAAAAATCGTCCAAAGCTTCCCTAATTAATTAGGGTTCGAATGAGAAGCGTTTCTGTATATAAATTCTGAAAACAGATCCAACTCGATGATTTTGTGACCCAACTCGTCGTGTTGTTCATTAAAATCCCGTGTATGACAAGTCAGCGTCGAGAATCATGAACTTTCTGATCAACTCGTCGAGTTGAGGCCCACCTAGTCAAGTCCGTTTGGAATCTGAACTTTCTCAAACACAAAACTCATTCAAGATTGTGTCTAGTTTTCAGAACATATTGGATCTCGTCAATCGGAGTTACGGTTCATGAGATATGGTCAAAACACTGACAAGGGGTCAAGCTATCCACCAACATCCTTCTTTCTACAAAATCCAAGACCCAAGCTTCCAATCGCAAATTTCGCTTCCTTTTCCTTTCGAGCATGTATTTATTGCTAAAAAAAATTTTAAAACTAATGAAGCATCTTTTGTTCATTAAATGAGATAAAATCAACATAAAGTATTAAGATAGTGCATGAATTTTATAACGTTGTTTGCCCATATCACTTAGGACCTTGTAGAGCTATTCCTTTTCATAGTATGATGGACTAGTGGACATGGTTGTCCATTTCTTCCGATTGTAATACTTTTTGATGTCGACGAACTCATGGTAGCCGAGCGAGTCACAAATTTGTTGTGTGGATAAAGGAAGCAGTAAGGGTTGTGGAGAGTATCAGTCAGGAATTAGAAGTCCTTGAGAGATGTATGCATTATATTTTCGGTTGTTCTCAAGTTGTTGCTAAGCTATTGGTTTTCAAGTTAGGATTGGTTGGGAAGTCGCAAGTGATAAAATGCTTGACGATTGACCTGATTGGATATCCAGGTGGGGATATACTTTGGTCTACAAGGGGGTTGGATGTCGCTCGGAAATTCTTGGTTTGATCATCTTTGCACGGAGAATATGTGGTTGGTAATGGCATATTAGAGAGTCAAGAGTTGTTAAGGTTTTGGTGCATCATATGGTTTGGCTTCGGGGAGATGTTTGCGGCTGGTATGTTTTGAGGATCATTTCTGTGTATTTCTATTAGTGCCTCCAGTTAGGGAATCAGGGTACATTTATAATTGAATGCTCTTCAGTTGTAGGGATGGGTCTTCAAGAAGAGCATGAGTAGACATTTTAGAGTAGACTTTTAGTGGGAACTCGCATGGGAATCATGAGTGTATCTATGCAATGTTGGTGCTCAGAAAGGTTTGGGTCGTGAAAACTGTAGCTCAGAGGCATCAGTTGGAAAGTTTAGGACTTAGTTTATGTGACTGTACTCAAGGATGGTTCTACTTGTGTAAAGGTCGGACAAGTGATGAGGTTTCAGTATTTTTTTAGCAGCAACATGTCGGTTCTACAGTTAAGGAAATCATTTTTTCATAACCATTATGTTCATGGAAATTGTTATCTTCAGGATGAAACTTCTCACAAGGCAATATCTAATCCCTTCTGGTTAAGCGGAGGGTTGTCGGTAACAACATTCGGTTTTTGATTTTGTTTCCTTGTCGGGATCGCAGGTCAATAGTAGTCGAGTAAATAGCCTGATGGATAAGTGTTATGGTCTTAGTATGGGTTCTGTATGGGCGGTCTATCAGGGAGTCAGACCAGTTTGAAGCTTCAGGCTTTAGATAAGTAGATTGAGTTTCTTCAAAGGATTTTGAAATTACCTTCTTCGAGTGGAGTATTCTACTGGTTCCAGTTGCCTTGGGGATATAATTTTATGATCAAGGTTGTGGTTGTACCCCTCAAGCTGTCTGGATTGCTAGGGATGGTAAGGAGTGATTTCGAGGATGAAATCTTATTTAAGTGGGGGATAGTTGTAACGCCTTGTTCCGAATCGTTTCCTACATAGGTAGAATGACCTGAAGGCTGGGTATCGTCAAGCTTAGGGCCTTTAAGGAAAATATATTTATACCCATTTGGGTGTGGGTAATGTAGTTTCAATAATCTGGGAGTTCAGTCTCTGTTTTGGCGCCAAGGGGTATTTTGATAAAGTTTCAGTTTCATATTTTATGAATTTTGGATTTTTGTTCCGAATGTTTTAAGGCATATATAAGTCGATAGAAGTGCAGAGCTTCTCGTTACCTTTCCGTGGATATAAAGACCATTAAAATCAGAGTTAGAACGAAGAAGTTATGACTGTTTGAAGTTTAGGTGATTTTGGGCCAAGTTGAGTACGATGGGCATACAAGGAGGTGTACGCTAGGCGTACAAGGAGTACGCAGGGCATATGCAATAAGTTCCCAAACCTTGTTGTTGTGGTTTGAGCCTTATTTAAGCTCCTTAACTCCCCCAAACCCACTCCATTCTCAGCCTCCACCCCTCTATCACCCCTTCCATGATACCCTAACCCTAGTTGAGCCTTGTATGATAAAAGAAGGTGTTTTTGAGTGCTTTGGAGTATGCATGGTGCACCTTCGAGAAGAAGGAACTTCTTGGAGAAGTGTTGGTTGCATTGGAGCTTGTAAATCTAGACTTTATTCACCTTGTTCTATCCTCTAGATGTACAAAGTTTAAATCTTTATGATGCATTTGTTAGATATAACTAGTTTTGGATGTTATGAGTTCTTGGTCCTTTTAGTGCATAATGTTTAACTCTTGGAAGTTTCTGACCTTGTTATGGACAAAGTTTGAAACTTTATCAATATGAACATCATTTTGGTTCAGATAAAAAATTTGGAGACTTGTACTTAACGGATTAAGTTGAAAAAGATGATCTTTTGGGTCCCTTTGAGACTTCAAGACTAGATCTTGTTTATTAGGACCATTTAAGAACTTAGGGTTTGGATATTAAGCACTTTATAACCATGTAAACTCATAAAGTTGGAAACTTTATGACTTAGAACATCCTTCTGGGCATGGATATGATTTTTAGATGTAAGAACCTAGTATAATAATCTTTTAATTAAGTTTGGGACTTACTAGGGTATGCCACACGTACCTTCAGAGTACGCCCCATGTACGCACCCTGAGATGACTCAGTTGGGTTGACTCGGCTTGGTTGACTCATTTGACCTAGTTGGTTTGACCAAATTAACTTTGCCAAGGTTTACCAAGTTTGACCTTGAGGGTATTTTGGGTATTTCAGGATTTTGATTTTGATTGGTCACTTGGAGGAATAGGTGTCAGTTAGTGCTGGATTCGGAGTCGGGACCTCATCAGCTTCTATTCAGTTTGTGAGGTGAGTTTTCCTCACGATACTTATGGGTCGAAGGCACCAACGTCGGCCTATTAGTTTGATATCCTTGTATTTGTTGATATGTTGAGTATGGGATAGATATGCATGCTAGTTTTATATTCTATTCTGGTAGACCTGTAGGGCTACCTGTAATACTGTCTGTTTATCTGTACATGATATTATCTATTATATGTCGACATATTGTGTGGGGTGTATTGAGGTTGTACTGCTCCATGTTGTAGCCAACAAATCCTCGAGCATGCCAGATATGAGCTGAGGGTCGGGGAGGGCATGTCAGACTCATACTAAGGGCTTAATAGCATTCCAGATACGAGTTGAAGACCCAGTTAGTATGCTAGACGTGTACTAAGGGGTTGAGAGTATTAGAGCAATCCAAATATAAGTTGAGGGATGGGTAGGGCATGTCAGACTCATACTGAGGGCTCAGTAGCATTCCAGACACGAGCTGAGGACCTGTTTGGTATGCCAGACTTGAACTGAGGCCTAAAGAGGAAGCCAAATATGAGTTGTGGGCCTTTTAGGCAAGCGAGACTCGTACTTTGGGCTCAAGGGTAATCCATTCTATAGTTGTGGACCTAGTACTTGCTGTTATTTGTATTTGTGATATGTTTATGTGT